CAAATTATCTCGGGTGCTCCTAGGGGTACACCTACTCTGCTCTTGGGGAAGGGGCTCCTAACTGTAGCCATATGCAGAGACAAGGAGAAAGAATGAGAGCAGAACATGAATGAAGATATTGCAGAAAAGAGGTCAAGAGAGCACATGACAATGATAATGATCCAGCATACACCTGTTCTTTCACCTAGTTGGCCACACGGGCTCCTCCCTACCCTGGGAGGGAGGGAAAAGAGTGGCACCCTGTGAAACCAGGGTGATCCCTGGGGTGGGCTAATTGCAACAGGTACGAGTCACTCTCTGGTCCTCTGGCCCTGCCCATGTCCCTTCGTCTCATACATGTACTCAGGCCCTGTTCTCTCTAACACACACACCACCTGCACCTAGGATAGCCTTCATTCTGCCTCCATGACTGGAGAAAGGGTGGACATGAAAGGCCAATTGTTAGTCCATGAGCCTCCAAGGTGACATTTTTGGAACTTCCTGGGAAATCACCCCTTGCCCTCAACCTCTTGCCCTCTCAGGGTCATTGCCAACCTCCACATGCCTCCCTCACAGGGCCATTATGCAGGCTCATGTGGGTGTGCTCTTGAGGTGGAGCTAGAAAGGAGAGTTAAAGGGTTTTCAGTTCTGTTCCCAGACTGCTGAGTTTCACGGAGAAGAAACAAATGATGACTGTTCTGCAAGGCCACACAATGAGCGGCTTTCTCCCAGAGCCATGACCTTTACCCAGGAAGAGGCTGAGTGCACTTACTGAGTCTCTGCATTTGCTGCAGAGAATCTGTGGTAAACAGAGCAAGAAGGCCCTCATTGTCACCAAGGGCCTCCAAAACCGCCAGAGCTATTTTCACAGAGCCCTCGGTTGCCTGGTCGATGGCCGTCATCCAGTTTTACTAAAGCAATGGATTATTTAAAGTTAAAAAATAATTTATTTAGTTGAATTGGGATTGTCCTGGATGATTGCCAACGACTGCCAATGTGGCCATCCCATGGCAAACGTGTTGGTTGCTCTCACACAGTTCATGTTTTCTCCTGCGCTCAGAGACCGCCAATTCTGTAGTTACTGGTGACAATGAGCCTAGTTCCAGGTGATAACCCGTGCTGTGGCCATCTCTTTCCTCTTTGCCAAGAATTGGTCTAAACTGTGAACTACTGAAAACCTTTGAGGAAAGGGATAACTACGCCCTGCTGCTCTTCTTCTTGCTCTTGGACTTGTGTGAGGGGCTTATAACTCGAACTGGCATTGGCCATTTTAATTGTGAAGGTAGATATTACAGACAGAGCTGGCAGATATGAATAAAGACCTCAGCCCATTTTGATACCACTGAGCTTCAGAATTGTCTACTTTGGGACATCTTAAGTTGGATTTTCTGTGGATTAAAGTCTAAAGATCTGAACTGATCTACATAATTTTCCCCATCTGACCTAACATTATCAGGCCTAAAGCAAACCCTTCAGCAAACAATTTGTAAACAATCTGGTTTTATTATGGCTTAAAGCAAGATGCTGGACTCCAAAGGATTTCCGAGGAGTTTGATGGTCCGGCTGTGTTATGGAGGAGCTAGAAAGTGATTTGAACAATAAACATCTGGCTGAATGGCTGAATGCAAGAGGGAATCTTCTTTTTTGTCACAACAACAGCCTACTTACCTGAGAATCACCTCTTTCTTTGTGGAAGAACTTGGAACTGAGATCCACCCACCCACCCATCCATTCATCTGTCTACTGATGTATTCACCCATCCAGCAAATATATATTAGACCCCCTGCATGGGAGCATTTACCAGTGCGGCAGTGATGGCAGCCCCCAGTTTCCTTCAGCAGGCTGTCGGGCATGTGATGACCATGGCAGTGCTGGGGGCCATGGGCTGTGGGATCTTTGGTCACCAGCCTCCCGGGCTCTTCTGGAGGCAGTGCCAGAAGCACCTCAGCCTACCAAAGATTGTCCAGTGCCACCCATGTAGAGCTACTGTGTCAGCTGTGGGGTAAAACATACTGCAATCGTAAGATCGGCGCTACCGCATCACTATATGCAGAATAGATGTCACTGGCTTGGAAGAAATTCTCTGAGAAGAGACCCAAGAAATGGTGCCTCATCAACAGTCACTTGACAGATGAGGACACAGACCCAGAGGGGACAAGTCACTTGTTTTATAGAAATTAAAGCCATCAAGCATATGCTTAAGGTTTGTGCATTTTACTGTGGTCAGTAAAATGCACCATTCTACTTCAATTAAAAAAAAGCAAAAAGAAACAAAAGAAGAAATGACCTTAGATATTTTTCTTAGTATCATTTAAAAAAAGAGGGATAAAGGTGAAATTTTGAATAAAGAGAAAATCAGTGATACTTTACATATTTTAAACTAGTAATCATGGGGATGGTTCAGTTAATTTATTACCCTTGTCTTACTAAAGGCTCTTCTAAATCTTAAGTTGAATTTTCAACAAGATGCTTCTAAATGCGCGGTATGCGATAGGAATGCTGATATCTCTGTGATAATCTTTAAGTTCAGAGTCCTGCCTTGAAGTTGTTGGCTCCGCTCATGGGTTAGGAATGGTCACAAGGTTCAGAATGGCCTGGGTGCTTGTAAAAAACAAGCTTTGGATGGCCATGAGCAGTTCGCCTGGGCCAACTGGGTTCATCTCTAACCTCAGCAACAAGGAATCCTAAAGGCATCAAATGTCAGAACTGGCTTGGAGAACACCTAACCTCATCTCTTCCCTCCCAGGAGGCACAGGAGTGAGGTTCTATGCAGCAAAAGGGGAGTTCATAGGCCCACTGAAAATCCAGGGGTAGCATTCACTTCTGGCACGGGTGGATTCAGGGCTAAAACGATGTTATTGGAGCTCCCTTTTCCCCGATCCTCTGGTTCTTCCATTGTGCTAGTCATAATCTCAGGAACTCCCAGGTGGCCCCACTCAGCTCCAGGTGTTCCACATGCTGACCAGAAGGATGGTCTCCAAACTCTGTATCTCCTCAGCTCCAAAGTCAAGGGATAAACACATTTTCTCCCTTACAGCATTCCCAGGGGCCCTTAAATCTTATTAGCTTTGAGTGGGTTACAGGCGTATTGCTGAGCATGAAAATGCAATGTTTTGATTGGCTTAGACCTAGGTTACCTGCTTCTTCCTCAGACCTCTTCCCAGATAAATGGACAGCTTCCTTCTCTTCTAACGGGACTTCCTGCTGCCACTGTGCCTCTGTATCTGTGTTGCCACCCTTCAAGGCCAGGCAAGTTCATGGTATTTGTACAGATGGAAAACTATTCATGGAGCCATTAGGATGTCTGGCATGCCTTTATTTATGGGTGGGCGAGCCACGCATGCTGCAAGCTGCGTGTCTATCTGCATGTTCCATGTCATGGCCCTTACTCCCCAGTGTGGCATCCATCATGGCACTTGTCCCCTTGCATGTCTCTCATCATCATTGCCCCCAGCAGGGAGTCCCTACCTGTTTAAGTACCAGAGGGGAACAAAGCTGGAAAACTGCCAGAACAGTACATAACATAACATGATTCTTCACATGTGAGCTCACTTCATGTTATGGGAACAGTTTATCAGACCCAGTCTCAGGGCTAGGAGGACACTAGTTCTCAGGCCCCTCCAAGGCCATGGGAACACTGCTCCCCTTAGCTGCCCAGACACCTGGGCGAGGAAGCCAGGCTGCCTCCACTTACCCTACAGTACCTCTTTCTGGTTTCATACAACCATCACACACCTGTTGACCAGTGTCTCTGAGGTGCAGTTCCCTGGCTGCCTGGCTGGGGAACAGGCTGTACATCCTCATGGCTCATGAAGCTGTTGGTCTCATCTGGCCTCTGAGGGTGGCAGCCTCTTGGCCCTGGCTGCTATGAGAGGTGAGTGCCGTTATGTAGCAATCCGCAGGCTTTTAGGTGTCCTAGTACTTCACCTTCATCCTAAAAATGCCATTTCTTCCCCTCTACCCTTATTAGTGAGTAGATGGCCCTTGGTGGCATCTCTTTGCTCTATTGGTGGCCATTTGAGAACACTGGCAAGTCGGTCTGTGGTATGTAGCCGGTGTCCATGGCTAGCTCTTGGCCCACAGATGCTTCTCATTCTTTGCAGATAGTTCACAGGCACCTTCTCATTTCACCCCTCTCACTGGGCGGCACCGCTCCAGGCCACACCATAGCAGCCATCCTTACTCTGTTGAGGTCTTTGCATGTTACCTCAGGCCTGTGTTGTGTGTGTGTGTGTGATATGGAGTAAACTCCCAGTAGTGCAGACAGGAAGCACGCGTAACTAGTTTATGGAATGGGCTGTGCCTGGTCAGCCACACTCCAAGTCTGGTCAGCCACACTCCAAGTCTGAAGCAGAACCTGTTCTGTGTCTCAAGTTATTACCTTGTCTTATTCTGAGTGTTAACTTAATGTTAAAAACTCTCAGGGTTGGGATATCAAACGGTAAGGTAATACTGAGAAAATTGACAATAGTGTGTACAGACTTGGTTAGCATTTGCTTCCCTCCGTAAGCTAGGCAGAGAGCAAGTTAATGAAGAGGAGCGGGAGGAAGGGCCCCCCAGGACACTGTTGGGAGGGGCTCTGCTGCTCGGAGTCCCAGCTGCAGTGACAGTGCCCTCTGCTGGCAAGATTTTCCTCTCTGGTCTGCATGGAGGTTGGAGTCCCCTCCAGGTCTGTCTGGTTCCTCGATCTTCAGCGATGCTGCGAGAATGATGCTTGTGGAGGATAGGGCCGACCAGGCTTTCGCACTGGAAGTTACCCAGGGGTTGCAGGTTCCAGCAGTTGGGAGTTTAAGCCCAGATCCTACCTCGACTTCCATCAGCTTCCCCTCCGTGCAGACAGCTTATTTACATTAATCATTTTCCAGATATTTTTTTTAAGAAAATGCTTTTCCTAAAAAGGACATATTCAAGATCAAGTTGCACATATTCAATCAAGTTTATGAAATTTCTTAGTTTAAAATTTGAGAAAATGAAGTGAAACGCTGTTAAAATAAACTCATTTTTTTCTGTCTGTGGATCAGGGGATGCGGCATCCTTTACAAGCACCAACCCAAATCCGACACTTCGAGTTGCCACGCGTCATCTCACCACAGACACGTAAGACGCTGCTGCCGGGGCCCGAGCCCACCCTCGGCCAGGCCGACCTGCCTGCCGCTGTCTGGGTGTGTGTGTAGGGGAGACTCTGGGCTGGAAAGCTGGATGGCAGAGTCATGACAGGCCTCGAGGACCACGCTGCTGCAGTTACTGACGAGCCAGCTTCTGTCCCTGGGCGACCACCAGGTGGGTGCTCGAGGGCCTCTCCCGGCCCACTCTGCCCTCGTGGGTTCTCGCAGTTTGCCCTCAGGGCTGGGTCTCTGCAGCCACATTCCAATAGGCTTTTTTCCTTCAACCAGATCCTACTGGACCAGGAGTTCACCGACCAAAGGGATCCAATCCCTTCAACAGGGGGCAGAGGACGGCGGGAACCAGATATCCTTTTCCAGAAATTGGCGATTCAGACACAGGAGTGATAGTCAACCTCTGATGGACATTTGGGCTGAAAGGGCCTGTAGGGCTGGCCAGCATTTCCCACTGCAGCCCGGAGGGGCGGAGAAGCCTGGTCCGCACAGAGAGAACTTAATGGAGGTGACACACGGGGACACAGAGAGGGGGTGCCCTGGAGAGAGAGGTTTTGGCTTCCAGGTTCTGTCCTACGCTCTTGTTTCCTCCCCACATCCCGTGTTGCTCAAACAGCAGGTGGCCCTGAGACAGGTGCCCTTCTGTTCAGTTTGCATTTAATGCAGAGCAAAACAATTCCGAAAACTTTTGCCCGAGAGCTCAGAATTTAAATTCTGTCCAGACTGCCAGGAACACCCAGAATACAGTGGGGCCTCTGCTAATTGGATTTTCTGGATAAATAAGTCTTAAGCAGAGAACTTTCTATTTGTTTCCATCTTTGTTACAAAAAATTGTCTAAAATGCATAAATAAAAAAACAAATTGGAAACAATTTAAATGTCTATCAGTAGTACACTGGTTAGAAATTTGTGAGTGGAGTACTATGCAAGCATTAAAAAAATAAGACGGAAGATGGTCTGTTAGGGTACATAACTCCCTGTGTTCTCAAATCACCGGCCATCTGAATGGAGCGCCCATAGAGATTCAATCCCTGTCTCCGCGTATTGGTTCTAGTAGGTGACAGGCAGCCTGAATACTGGCTTTTCTGGTTACGTATTCTGGCGAATCCTTTCTGGGACAGACTTTGGGACTCTCCAGTAAGTCTGGGTATTTGGTGGGGAGTCCCACTGGCCGTCTGGACTGGGTGGCCCGGGTGTGTGGATTTGGAGATTCCCTATCAGCTGCCAAGTGATTTCGCTTGGGGACTCCCCTTCTCTGACTCTCGGCACCTCCTGTCGTCTTCATTTTTTTATCGAATCATTGCACTTTCTGGTTCAGGTTACAGTCCTGGGTCATGACTTTGTCAGGAATTTAGGTGCCTTCTGGTTTTCAGAACTCTGTCGGGTAAAAAGCTGCCTTCTGGTTCTTGCGATATTACTGAGCTTTATCTGGTGGGGTGAGGTGGGGGAAGCCTCCATTCTGGGATACAGCTGTTTGGGGTGAATTTTGGCTGGTTGGTTGACCTATGCTGATAAACCTGTGACTAACAAGAAAGTGGTTTTTATTATAATATTGTTTGGCTCATATATTGTGTAATCTAGACTCGGGAGAGTGCTGGCCGCTGAATGGGTCTTTAAGTTACTGTATTATACAGCAGTTAGAGTTGTTTGTCAAAGATCAGGGAAGTGGACCAAAGTGCCTTACCTAGAACCTCTCATGAGTTCATATAATAAGGATGCAGGATTAAAAGGAAATAGATTAATGGTCCAGAGAAAAGGGAATGTGCCTGTGCAGCAGAAGGTCAGAGGACAGGGACCAAGAAGATCTGAATATCATGGCAACTGTGAGCATGGCCAGGGTTCCCACGGCCCCCCAGCCCTGGGGGTCTTCCTCCTTACTGGACTGAGGGGACTGAGGAAAATAAGCCTGAACTGGTGTCACCATCTCGAACCCATCAGGGAACCAAATTCGGTGGAGGACAAGCCCCAGCCGGGGCAGGGAAATCCCCTTTGAGAAAACCTCCAGCGGGAGTCGGGCCAAAGGGCCAGCCTGCTGGATGTCACGGGCATATGCTCTGCTTTGTACATCACATCTGTTAAACTGGAAAAGCTCTGAAAGGACCAGAGTATATATGCCTTTAGAGTGGACAAAGGAGTACACAAAAGCTTTTGAGTCCCTGAAGGTACACCAGCTTCTGCACCAGCCTTAGGGTTTCAGAACCTACTAAAGCTCTTTCAGTGATAAATTCATGAAAGGCAGGGTGTTGCCCTAGGAGTCTTCACCCAAATGCTTAGTGACATTTCACAACCCATCGGCTTACCTATCAAAGAAATTAGATGACACTCTCCAGGGGTGGCCAGCCTCCTCGAGGGCTGTGTCAGCCACACGTGAACCCTTATGGGAAGCTAAGTTTTCCTTGGGACAGTCCACCAAGTGTTGAGCCTGCTGGAGTGGAAGGGAAAAATGTGACCCAGTGGAAGAAGGGGCAGGTACCAAGCCATTCTTCTCAACAATCCCAACGTCTTCCTCAAATCGGGAAGTTAAATCCTGCCTCTCTTCTCCCAGAGCCCAACTTGGCTACACTAATACGTGACTGTGCTGAAATGACTGATGAAGAGTGTTCTAGCAGAACTGATTTACAGGACCATCCTCTAGAAGAAGCAGACTGGACTGTCTATGCAGATGGAAGCAGCTTTGTGGACAAAGGGAACAGAGAGGCTAGACGTGCAGTTGTGGCTCTGGATGGAGTTAGTGGAGGCCAAGGCCTTGCTGCCAGGAACCTCTGCTCAGAAAGCTGAACTGATGGCACTGACGAGGCACTGGAACTGTTGTGCACAAAGAGGGTGAATGTGTATACCGACTTCAGGGACACTTTCCTAATTTTGCAATCACATGGTTCCATCTGGAAGGAAAAAGAACTGTTAGCCTCCAAATAAAAAGGAGAATAAGAATGCAGCAGAAATCTCGAAATGATTAGAGGCTGTTCAGGTACCTTTACAGGTGGCAGCTGTGCACTGCCCAGGGCTTCAGAAGGAGGACACTGAAGTGGCTACAGGAAACAATCTGGCAGCGAAAGAGTCACTAAAGGAATATTTATAATAGGGTTTTGATGAAGAAGGAGCTGATGGTGGATGGAGAAAGAATAAGAAAGGAGTTGTACAACTCCCTGAACATTTAGTGGAGTCAGTCGTGAAGCATTTGCATGAGGCCAGTCACTACGGAAGAGACTCATTAACTATGTATATTAAACCGTGGCTCACAGGTCCTGGAATTTCTAAAGCCATACAAAAAGTAACTGTTAGATGTGCTGTGTATCAGAAGAACAACCCAAGACAGACCCCCGCAATACCAAGGACACTGCCCGCTTGAGGACTGGCAAATAATAGACTTTACTCAGATGCCAAGGGTCAGAGGGTGGAGGTGTTTGTTAGTCTTTGCCAACACCTTTTCAGGATGGGTAGAAGTCCACCCTACTAAAACAGAGAATCCTCAGAGGTAGTGAAAGCCTTACTAAAAGAAATAATTCCTCACTCTGGCCTTCCTGGCAGCATCCAGAGTGTTAATGGACCTGCTTTTGTTTGAGAAATTACACAAAAGTTTAGTAAATTTTCAGGAATCAAGTGGAGACTCCACATGGCATGGAGACCTCAAGCTTCTGGAAGAGTGGAGAAGATGAATCACACTTTGAAGAGAAATACTGCCAAACTGTGTTAAGAAACTCATCTCCACCCTGGCTGGTGTGGCACAGTAGACTGGCCTGCTAACCAAAAGGGCGTTGGTTCAATTCCCCGTCAGGGCACATGCTTGGGTTGAGGTCCGGGTCCTGACTGGGGGCGTGTGAGCAGCAACTGATCAATGTATCTCTTACACAGCAATGTTTCTCTCCCTCTCTTTCTTTCTTCCTTTTCTTCTCTCTAAATATAAATAAATAAAATCTAAAATTAAAAAAAGAAACAACCAGTGAATGCATAAAAAAGTAGAACAACAAATCAATGTTTCTCCCTTCCTCTCTCTCTCTAAAAAAAAAAAATCAATATTTAAAAATGTAAAAGACAAAAGAAAAAAGAAACTCATCTCCCTCGGGATCAAGCTTCACCTATCACCCTGCTCAGGATATGGGTGGCTCCTCAAAGTGGGGTTCAACCCAGTCCTTAATGAAATTGTGACATGTGACCATTTCAGGCTATGATTGGGGTGGGAGACATGTATATAGATTAAGAAGTGAAGGTAAAGAAATATGTGAAACATTTAAGTCAGACCTTAGCTGTAATGAATGACCTTGCCTGCAGTAAAGACTTCTCCTCCACAGGTTTGCTGCATTCCTTTGGGCCTGCAGATAAGGTGCTACTCAAGACTTGGAAGACAGGATCTCCAGAAAGCCAACTAGGGGAAAAGTGGACTGAACTGTAGGATGTCCTCCTCACCATCCCCGCCACAGTGAAACTGGCAGAAATAAAAGCTCGGATCCATCACACCAGAGTAAAGAAAGCACTGGAGGGACGATGGACCGCAGAACCTCAAGAAGACTTGAAAGTCATATTTTGAATACAATGACTTATATTCTTTACTTACTTTTTGCTTAACCCCCTGTTATTGAAAACTTATTCCTTTCAAACGGGATGAAAATATTTTGGTATATTTAGCAGAAATGTTCTAAACATCTCTGAATTTTGCCTTGCAGGAGGAACTTATGATGAACCAACTCTCACTTCATATCTTATAGGTGTTTGTACTCCCCTGGAAAGCCTTTGAAATTATACTTAGTTTAAGGATATCAACAAGAAAATAACCTACTCTGATATTTATAATCGGGGACCTGTGGTAACTCTAATGGACAGGGAAATGTTTTCCTTAAAAGTCACAAACGCAGCCCCAGCTGGAGAGTGTGCAACTTTGGTCAACTGTTAGGAACTGTTTTGTGCTTCATCATAGTTTGCTGTTGCAGGCACTGTGCCCCCTTATGTGAATCTGCAATTAAATGTATTGCTGAGCCCCCTCCCAGAGGGTCTAATGCTGAGACACGTGCTCAACAGCAAAATGAATACTTCCGTATGAAACCAATCTCCCAGAAATAAGAGAGTTTAGACTAATCGTGGGGGAAGGGTGAGGGACTCAGGAGTTGGGAAACTTCAGTTTCAGGTAGCAGTTGCACGTACAAGCTATTGTTCTAGGAACTGAAGGTATGACCCACCCTGATTCCAGGAGACAGTAAGCAGTTCTACCTTTGTGCCTCAGGAGGACTGCAAGCCGTCAAGATGGTATCTGAGCGGTTGTGCTCCAAGGTGAGACACCCACCGCCCAGGGCACAGATGGAAGAATGCAGCTGCTTTTATCTGATAACTTTTCCCTGGATTCCAAACCCCTTACCTATACTTCTTCTAAAAATGGTCTGTTTAAAATGGAATTTAAGACAGTCTGTCAGGGTACAAACCTGCTGTCTTCTCAAATTGCTGACCACATGACTAAAGCTCCCATAAAGATTCAAAAAAAAAAAAAAAAGAAAGAAAAAGAATAAGACAGATCCATGTGACCCACCATGGAAGGTTCTCCGTGATACATTGTTAAGTAAACAATAAAATATCGAATGCTATGTGCATTGTGTTTTATTTGTATGAAAAAAGAAACAGGAAATGCATAAGTTCATAGGTCCACTCAGGCCCGGATGCAGAGGGTACCTGTGGGGGCTGCCCGAGATCCCCCACAGCGCGCGCCTCCAGGGAGACCCCTGGGACGAGAGGGACGCTCATGTTTCTCTGTGTATCCTTTCATACTGCCTGAGAGAGAAAACAATTTACAGTACACACGTGCTGGCTCTTTACTACATACATAATACACAAGCACGTGCCAGTGTGCCTGCACACAGCCTGCTTTCCACTTCTATTAGAAGTACAAAGCACTTATTCCCCTCCAACCATGACAGTTTCTGGAAATCGGAGTAACAGGAGTAGGAGGATCTTTATAAATGTCCTCACTGCTGGAGTCACTCTCATGCGTTTGCCTTCACCTGTAGGAGCTGTCAAATGACCAGATGAGGTGACCGGAAGCGAAGGCCCGCGCTCCCTGTGCGGCGGAGTGGGGCCAGGGAGACCGGAGCGGCTGCGGTCTGGGCAGCAGCAGGCTGGCACCTGAGGTTGAGGAACTGCCAGTAACTGGGTTCTCGTTTCCCCTGTGGATTCTCATCACTCACAGCGAAGTCCTTGAACTCGGGCTTTCTGCATCTATTAAATGGTGACAGCAATACCTTCTTTCTAGGTTCTTCTGAGGAGCAGGGATGAAAGCATCTGGCACACGGCCCGGCTCGGCTACCGAACGCGGCGTGTTTTGCGGTCATGTGATGTTTCCCCAACGTGTCCGAGAAGGAGGTGCATAATCGATCTTAGAGTGTCCCAGATGATGCTGGATGCGTGTCCTGGGTTTAAAGTCGGACTCTGATGTTTAGGGGAGGTTACTAACAGAAGTGTCTTTGCTCTCTTTGGACATTATTTGCGGGGGGGGGGCGGTGAGGGAGGCTTTATTCCCTTCAGCGTGGACATCTTTGCCATCGATCGTAGAGAACCAGCCTGAGGCTGAAGCCAACACAAAGGATCTGAAAGTGGAAGGGCAGAGGAATAAGGGAGGAGGATGTGGTTTCTAAAGGAAATTCAGGTGCTTTCACCATAGGAACAGAAAGGACTCAGCGGGAAAGCACGCAGCTATCCACCACGCTTAGCGCCATACACTGGGGTGGGGGGGAGAGGGCTGGGAGGAATCAAACAGGCCATCGCTTGTACTTAGAGTGGACTCTGTGAAATGCTTTGTGTGGGCAGCTGGAAGGCGAATGATGAGCTGGGTTCTCCAGGAGGGTCTTCAGAGAAATGAGACTAGAGGGAGTCTTTGTGAAATAATTAAAGGATTTCAGCCGCAGTCTGGAGATGGGGCCTACGGCCACCCCCCCTCCCTTCTCCCAGCCCGGACTCGCACAGCCTGGCCAGACTTCCTTCTGGCCTAGATCCTTCCTCACTTCTCAGGAGTGGCTGGTGGAGAGTCAACAGTCCCATTAGTGTTTCAAACTTAAATCGGCCAATTAGTACTTCTGTCCTGGCTGCTGGCGCCCTTTGCCTTTCCAAAGAGCCTCTTCTCCATTAGGGGAACCAGTTATCCCACTTTTCCCAGGATTGTCTGTTTAGCACTGAAAGTCCCCCATCCTGGGAAAACCCTCTGTCCCAGACAAACCTGCTGGTCGGTCACCCCAGAATGGAGAATCAGCACTCCTACTAGGTGACTCATGTTTGTGAGCACCGTGCTGATGCTGGAAGCACAGGACTAAATACATCTGCTCTGGGCTGTGCCTGGAAGAACTGGGCGTCTGACAGCAGTGGTGGGACCGAAATGGACCATCCCAGAGAGACGTGGTGTGACGGAGACAAAGGCAAGCTGAGGTCTGAGGGGCTGTCTCATACAGCACTGTAAGGAAGAAGCTGGGGAGGGGCTTGTGAACGGGGCATTGGCAAATGATGGTGTTTGTGGATGGGAGAGGGTGGGGGTGGAAAAGGACATTTCAATAGGGCCAGGAGCTTGCACAGAGACATAGTGTGATGAAAACCCGGCACTTGGGGGCTAGTGACAGCCCCCCAACCCCTACCAAACATTTGCAGGGCTGAGGGCAAGTGCATAGATGGAAGCCTATATAGATCATGTGTCTAAATATTTAAAAATTAAATCAGGCACATGCTCTTAAATAGACATGCTCTCTTCCCCTCCCTGGACGAACATACCTTCATACCACTATGGGAGGCCAGGTTAGAGATTGGAATTCCCAGGCTCTCTGGTGCCCTGGCTGGAAGGAGACCACCTGAGAAGGGCTGGGCCCAGGTCTGGCTCCCATACCTTCTTCCTACCCCCAAATCTGCTCCTTCCTGTACTGCTAGGGGCCTCACACACACACAGGGCCCCTGACACGGCATCACAAACTCTGTCCACGTCCCCTGCAAACAGCTTGCTTGTCCCCGGGACTGAGAACAGTGACACTGGTGGGGAAGAGGCCTGAGCAGGCCCTGGAAGTGGGCAGGGAATCCTCAGGTTGAGGGTGGTTTGGGATGGGTACAGACTCTGGGTGGGCACGTCCCTCTGGGCCCTGCAGACTGCCCCGTGGAGTAGGGGGCTCTGGGTGAGGCCAGGGAGGGACTTTCCTGCCTGGGTGTTAGAATGATGCCAAGTGGTAAGGAGTTCCCAATGGCTGGAATGTGGTCGTATTTGCATAAACAGTACTGGTGGAGGCTGGTTCCTGTTACTATGAGAGATGACAAAAAATAGTGGCCCCACATTTGGGTTTTTAGGAAGAGAAACATCAGAAATGACCTGGGAAAAGGCCTGCCGCTCTTCTTACCCCGTTTATGCAAAAGTCGGGCATGTCCAAGTCGATGTGCGGAAGCTGGCCTTTTGGTCCAGTAAGACAGAAGCTAGAAATGAACAGGACCTAAGCTACACACCCTCTTGAGTTGTCAGAATTTGGGAAACTGGCCACTTGCAGGTGAGTCAGCTTCTCTCTGGCAATACCCCACGGCTCATGTGAAGTGAGTAACCCTTCTGAAGTACAGACGTCATTTCCCTGTCCTCCCATTAGATGCCCCAGGATGTGTGTGAAGTAAGCGTGACCCAGACTTTCAGGGCTATGACATCGTACAGCAGGGGGCACTAAAGGAGCTTGATTCTTGCTGAGGCTGCTGGACGCCTCAGATCCTAACTCCCTGGTCCCAGACATAGCATATGCTTGAAACGTTTCCTATTAAAAGATTACACAGAACAGCCATTTTCAACCAGTATGCCACAGGCCTTTTTAAAACATGCAATACCTATTTAGTAAGGGGCATTGACCCCTTTTTCCTTAGGTTTCAAATAAGAAAATGACAACAGCTAACACAATAGCTGTCCAGTGTAAATGAATCAAAATTATACCTATTTTTTGTCAGCTGCTGACAGAATAATTACATAGAAATTGTAATTTTCAAAAATAACAAAAAAGGTGCTGTTGAATTCTCAGCCATATATTCTAAAAAATAGAATTATTTGATGTCTTGGATGTCAAGAATTAAACAATAAAAACCATAGTCACATTTCTGATATAACCAGTTTTTCCATTAGTTGTCTAACTTCAGAGTGTTTCATTTTAAAAATTACACACCAAGCCAAGTCTCCTGTGCACTGACCAGCTTGCTTGAAGAGTCGGATCAAGGGCTGCAAACTGGGGAGGGACGGAGGGAGGGCCAAAGGGGCCCGCTCCCCCAGGAGGAGGTTAGTAGACAGCCAGGAGTCGGGGAGGGGAACCCGAGGACTTCTCAGATAGAGGGGGAAGGGAAGTGGAAGAACCACTGCCTCTTTAAGGGGGACTGACGGAGGCCGAGGGAGTGGAACCAAATCAACCAACATGTGATGAAAACAGGAGGGGGTGAAAACACCTAAAGTAGTAAAAGAATATGTATCGACGGGATCGATTTGCAGCATGGTTTGTCATCCTTTCAGTCCAGTTACCTTCTCAATTGTTATAAATTCCTTTCATACAAAATCTGTTTTTGCTAGATAATGCAGTGAGTTTTAGCAAACAGCAGTTACAAAATTTGGGGGGAATTAGTTTTGAATTGCCCTTCAAATACAAAATTAATGGAGCTGGCCAGCCAGTAGAAGGACTGGATTTTTTTTTTTTACCTTCACTAGAGGACATTTTTTCCCCATTGCTTTTAAAGAGAAAAGAAGGGGGGGGGCGAGGGGAAGGGAAAGAAAGACCAATGCAAGTGAGAAACACCGATTGGTTGCCTCTTGCACGTGGACCTATCAGGGATCCCACACGCCGGACTGAGGAGCAAACCTGCAAGCCAGGTTTATGCGCTGACTGGGAATCGTGCCGGTGACCCTTAGGTTATGGAAAGAAGCTCCAACCACTGAGCCCCACCAGCCAGTACAGGACTAGACATTTGAATTACTGTAGTTTTAGGACTATAAGATGCACCTGACCATAAGGCGCACCTAGGGTTTGGAGGAAATAGGAAAAAAATTTGAAGCAAAAAATGTGGTAAAATATTTAATAACATGTGACCCCGCTTCACTGCTGCCCCCCTGCCCACAGCAAGCCAGGCAAGCGACATTTGGACTATAAGACACACCCCATTTTCCCCCAAATTTGGGGAAAGTGCATCTTATAGTCTGAAAAATAGTTATTTCCCATAATTCATTAGGTGATGAATTGTGGTGCTTGAGCCACTGACAGTCACATTGCACACTGTGACCAACTGCATGCTTTGGAAGATAATCAGTGAGGTTAGAGTATAGTCTGTGACAATGGAACAGATTTCTATTTTTATTTTTATTGTTATTCAAGTAGTTTTCTCCCTTTTACTCCCATCCCAGCCCACGCCCCCAGCCCTCCCCACCTCCCCCCTATTTCCATCCCTCCTTGTTTTTGTCCCTGTGTCCTTTATACTTGTTCCTGCAAACCCTTCCCCTTTCCCCCTGAAATTCCCTCCCCTCTCCCCTCTGGTCACTGTCAGCCTGTTCTCTATTTCAGTGTCTTTGGTTATATTTTGCTTGTTTTGTTGATTAGGTTCCTGTTAAAGGTGAGATCATATGGTATTTGTCTTTCACCTCCTGGCTTATTTCCCTTAGCATAATGCTTTCCAGTTTCATCCATGCTGTTGCAAAGGGTAGGAGCTCCTTTATTTCTTCTGCACAGAATCCCATTGTGTAAATGTACCCTAGTTCTTTGACCCATTCATTTACTGATGGACACTTAGGTTACTTCCAGCACTTGGCTATTGTAAATTGTCCTGCTATGAACATTGGGGTGCATAGGTTCTTTTGGATTGGTGTTTCAGGGTTCTTAGGTTATAATCCTGGCAGTGGAATTGCTGGGTCAAAAGGCAGATCCATTTTTAGTTTTCTGAGAAAATTCCATACTGCAGGTTTTTTCTTTATGTGAAATATAACTAGCTATACTGGTAATAGCACTAAATTTTAATTCCGGTCTGTATTTTTTTAAAAAGACTTTTACATTTAGTTTTAGAGAGAAGAGGGAGGAAGAAAGAGAGGGAGAGAAACATTACTGTGTGGTTGCCTCTTGCACATCCTCTAGTGGGAACCTGGCCTGCAACCCAGGCCTGTGTCCTGATTGGGATTGAATTGGTGACCCTTTGGTTTATAGGCTGGTACTCAATTCACTGAGCCACACCAGTCAGGGGCTTCAGTTTGTGTTCTTTAAAAAAATTACAAACTCTTAAAAACTGATTTTATAGGGCAATATCCCAAGATATAAGAAGAGCCAAATGCCCAAAGTGTGGAGGCCTCGGGAAGGAGATTTGCAACAAGTCTGGGGAAGCTGAGCCTAACATGGCCTCCTAGAAGCTGCCACTGCAACCACTGCCATCCTACAGCTGAACTGCTTTGTCATGTCTTTCCTCTTCACTGTTTGGCTTACAGTAAGCATTATGCTTTGAGGTGTTGAGAAGGAACAAGACATGGCGTTGGGCAGCCCTAGGTTGGGATCCTGATTCCATCTGGCTCTGGGATCTTCTCAAAGTCACTATAAAATGTGGATAATGACGTCTACTTCCCAGGGCCATTGGGAAGGACCGGATGAAACAGTCTGTGCAAAGACCACTGTCAGGAGCCTGACACTCCACAAATGGGATTCGTTTCCTGTGGGTGAGTACAGCAGAGCACTTCCAGTACCCTGGGATTCATCTGATACCATCAGACCTGTCCGAAGCAGCGAATTAGCAGGAGACTTCGAGTACTCTTATTTTGTTTTATGTTTTTCAACGTCATATTCCATTTGAGTACTAAGCATGTAGGCAGGTATCATGGAATGCAACACGTGAGGAAAAAGAAGTGAGTTGAGGGAACACTGTGTGAAATAATGCTGTAACTCACACAGATGAAATAGCCGCTTCGCTGCACAAAGAATTACCACTGAAACATTTAAAAAGAGACTTAACATAGGAACGAGCTATTTTAATCAAGCAAAAACAAAGTTATATTCATTATTTCTAAAAATAAAATTAGACTTTTTCCAACCCTTAACATCTGCATTTAATAATATCTTCTAACCAAAATACAGATGCTAAAACAGCAAGTTACAATATATCTTGTACAGCATACAGTTATGTTCACTGCTTACACTTACTTTAATCCTAGTTGGTCATTAGGTATTCAATGCATACTTAAACATCACTCATCATAAAGTTTCCACAATTAACAAAAAATCTGACAAGGCTGTCTTAAAACGGCTCTGCTATAAATTGTATAGAATATACAGAATTACAAAGTCAAGTATTTTTTTATCAAAATATACACCCCTCCCTGAAACTAACACAAGCTGTCAACATTTTAAACGAATAATACAATTATAGAAAATATTTGCAAAATTATTTTTTCATGTATAAATATTCTGCCATATTTACTTTGGTCTAGAATTATCAGCATACAAGTCCACTTTAAAAATATCCACATTAAGGGCTGGGAGACATCACTACATGTAGTATAATTTTATATTTGGAGTTACCGCAAATCAAAATGACTAAAATACACAATTATTTTTCTTGATTAATAATCCTAATTGAGTTAAAACAAATTAGTAGATCACAGGATTGCTTACTTGATATTCTAATTATCAATTCAAAAATGATTTTCATAAGCCCTTTGTGACAATCTCTTTTAACAAAACCCAGATGTATAGTGCAGGTATACATATATACAATGTATAAAATAAAGTTGAATTTGCTTGCATTTTCTTCTATTACATAATACTGTGTGTGAGTGAACGTAGATGAACAAAAGATAAATGCAGATACAATATTGGGGTTACTTAACAGCAAAGTACTACAGCATTCAAAGGTCAGCTTCGATCATGTCCATTTCTGGGTGTGTAAATGCTGTCTTGCCCACCCAAATCCATATTAAGTCTTCCTCATGGTGACATCACAACATTGGGAGAGAAACTGGAGTCCTGTGAGCTACTTCTTCATAGTGGTAACCTCGCAACGCTGGATAACCTTGGGTTTCCATCTATCAAATCCCAAGAACACGAATGGCTGCAGGCTACCCTTGAACTGGTTTCCGGATTCTGTTCACACTGGTGATCAAAGGGTAGGAATGTTTTCTCTCTGCCTCCTATCACGGCAGTTTAGAAAGTCAGACTCATGAGTTCCAGCTTCCCAGGAACCTAGTCCAGATGATGGAACATCCTGTAGGGCAATTAGACTTTGAGGGCAGTGTTGACGGTATGGGTCAGCGTAAAAGAACACTGTGAAACTTAAGTGGGTGTTTTAGCAAAGGGGCTAGATGTCTGCAAACATGAAGACAAGGCATCTGCCTTTTCGGATATATTTGAGTCACGTAAGTGATGGAACCTTATCTCCCTCATCCACATTTTATCTCCCCCCCCCACCCCCAAGCAAAGCTACTATTTGAGGCAAGGAAGGTCATCCCTTCCGGTTGCTGGCTCAAGTCGGTCCTTCGTGGGTGGGCGGGTGTGTGTTTCGGTTGTCCTTTTGTTTCATACTAGTGTATACGTGTGGGCTGTGTGATCTCCAAGGAAGCTGATCATGGTAGGGATTGGGTGTTCTGTCCCTTTCAAGTCTCTGGGCACTCACCACTGTGTGCATGCCTTGCACTAAATTTCCTGGACACTCCTTCAGTGGAATAGGAGGTGTCAGGTTTTACTTGACCCCTTAAGACTGGTTAAGTCTGTCTGGAACAGACCGCCACATTTATGGCCTTGTGATGGATGGAAGACTGTGGGGCGTTTCAGAAGAATTTGACCCTTCTTCATTTCCTGAGGTGAGGCTACTGCAAAGTAATACACAGCACAGGTAACCACAGGTAAATTCTGGGAAGACTTCCCCCCATAGATAAGGCATGAACTATGTTTTCTGTGACTTGAATAGACCAATTCAAATAACGGCTCAGCCATAACATCAAGAGAACAGCATTCCATCTAAAAGCATACACATGCTCTTACGTCATATTCAAAATGCTTTCTACTGGTTTTTACAGCAGTCCTCATTATTTGCAGACCTATTGCTCATCATTATAATTCTCTACAGGGGACATGGACAGTTAAAAGTCATAGTGATTTATATATGTATTTTACAAGGTTTGTGTTGCAGAAAAGTAGTTCTAATACATGAATGTCCTACTTAGGTTACTCATTTCACACATATTTTTAGCTATATTAAGTATTTAATATGTATCCATTAAATTTAAACAATTTTCAACAGTGCAGAAGCTGAATGGGAATGACTGTTACAGCTCATTTACCTTTTAACTTACTTATGAAGATGACATTTTCATGATGTCTAACCCTTATTTTCTCCAGTGACTAAAGACAGTTTAGCAGCCAGTTCCTATTAGCACTTACCAGAAAGTTTTAAATTAGGCTAAAATGAAACTTTTTTTCCCACTGGCAGAAATACCACAGCTAAGAACTTCATAAACTTTCACAAGATACTTGGGATATTGGCGAAGTCAGCAATTTTGTTTTTGCGCACTTTGCAAGATGTTAATGCTAAAACCCAAAGCAGATATTAGGATCCTCTTTCTGGAATTTTCACAAAAGAGATTTTTGTTTTTACAATTCACTCCTTCATGACTGTTATGTGAAACAAAACTAAACTTAAAAACAAAACCAGAATAAAATAGCTAACTAAAAAAAAATAAACAAACCCATCAACTTGTATTTTTGAAGATTTTTTCCCCCCAAGTATCACCGTTCAAAGGTTTCCAACAATGGTTTGTACATTATCCTTTTGGTCATTGTCTTCTGAATCCATGAACTGTGGATTCTCCAGCGGATCTGAGTTTTCCTGGTACACATCACCTTCCGATTTCTCTCGCTGACTCGGGCTTTTGAATAAGTGTTTCTTCTGGTGCATGCCAAGGGCAGCAGCTGTTTTGCAAATTTTGGGGCACTGGAAGCAGGCGAAGCCCTTACCGTTGTGCTCCCGAATGTGCCTCTGCTCGTGATTCCTTTTTGTGGAGAGGTACAAAAAACTCTGAAAGCAGAACTGACAGTGGTAACGCTTCTCGCCAGTGTGGATTCTTTCGTGGATCTTGAGGGTCTCGTTCAGCGTGAAGGCCTTGTTGCAATACTGGCAGATGAACTCCTTGACGCCCAGGTGGATGCGTTCATGCTTCTGTAAGTTTCCCTGCACAGAAAAGCACCGCCCACAGGTCTTGCATGGGTATGGCTTCTCTCCGGTATGACACCGCATGTGCATCTTGAGCGTGGACGGGCTCTGGAACTGCTTGGCGCAGAGCTCGCACGTGTACGGCCTGGCGGTGACGTGCCGGTGGGGCCTGCCTTGGTTTCCAGCCCCCGAGGCCTTGTCTCCATCACAGAGCTCACACTGCAACTTGGGCATCTCTTTATTTTCTTCTTCCTCAAAGGCCTTCTCCTGAGGAGCCTTCCCCACAGCGCAGTCCAATTCTGCCGGGTATTTATACTTACTGCTCGGGCTCCTGTTTTCATGTTCTTTCCTCCAGTTGACTTTTCTCATTTTTCGCAACTGCCTAGATTTCTTTTTGGGTTTGTAGTTGTAGTAAGGGCGCCATGGCTTGTCAGTGGAATCCTGGTCACTTGCGTCATCGAACATTTCACTCATCTCCATGCACTCGGATTGGCAAAGCTCAAGCGGGCTGTCTCTGTTGGTTTCCGGGTCACTCTCTCGTGGCAAAGTCTCTTCCTGCACTTGATACTTGGGTCTTCTCCCTCTTTTATAGAACAATTTGGATCCTAAGATATGCCTTTTCACAATGGCTTCATTCCCAATTTTGACTGTTATTTGGCAAAGAGGTGCGACGTTGCTGTTTGTGGAGGTTCCGGGGAGAGCAGGCTTTGCGATGTAGGTTTCGATTTTACTGGTTTCTTTAATGACATTTGTGGTTTTGCTCAATGACCCTCCAGGGTCAGCAACGTAGCTTGATTCCTCTGGCATTTCTCCCCTGTTACATGGGATGGTTTTCTTTTTCTCCTTAATGCTTTTGGGTCTGCTGGGCACTCTCCCCACTTTGTCGGTCTCGGGTTTGCTGTCACCTTGCCCGGGCTGACTGACAGGTGGATCTGAAGGGGCTCTGTGGTTGGTGCTGGCCATTGCCGCCACGGAGGTGCTGTGCATGATCACCGACGAAAACTGGCTGCTGTGAACAATGACCGAGGGCGCTGAGCCACTGTAGCTGATCACGGAGGCTGAGTTCTCATTGCCGGTACTCAGAGGCAAAGCGGGCACGTTCCCAGCCGGGAAATCCGAACTGACAGCGTTTTCAGTAGAAGAAACTGACACCTCTGTTGAATAAAAATTATTGTCAAGATCAACTTTCAAGGCCTCCTCTCCCCACTTGGTCCCCTCTGCATTTTGGACATTGGCAGAAATGGGTCTGTCCCGACATGTGGATGTTTCCAGTGGGACAGCTGGACTGTTGGTCATGGTATTCGCGCTGTCTTGGAAATTCAGAGTCGGTAATTCAGAGCTGCACGGATTCTGAATAACGTAGGGACCAGGTGCAGGCTCACTCATCTGACTGTTTTCTCGAGCATTTTCATAGGAAGAATTTCGGTAGCTTTTATAAGGAGCCCTCTTGCATTTCATAGGCAGCAGCCTGTACAGTTTATATGGATAGACACTAGGTTTTAAGCCTCCATTTGCGGTTTTTTTATTGATGGAAAGTCTGTGATCTATGGCGTGGAAAGACTTCTGATGGTTTTTGAGTATGTAGTAGGTCATGAAGGTTTCAAGGCAGAAAATGCACTGATAGCGCCTCTCTCCCGTATGCCACACTTCGTGTCTTGTCCTGTACTCCGCCAGTGCAAACACTTTGTTGCAGTAATGGCAAGGGTACGTTCTTCTCCACGAGTGGACATTTGCATGTCTGCGAAGGCTGGATAAAGTCACATAACTACGCTTGCATACAGCACAACTGTAGAGCATTTGCCCATTAACAAATTTAACCATGTGGTCCATTTCTGGCAAGGTACTTCCAGTACTGGAAAATTCACCAAGCCTGTTTCCAGATAATAAAGACTCTGGACGTGTGAAGGAAGCTCCGTTTTGTCCAATGGTAGGATAGTTTTCTAAAAAGCGTGGATTTCCTCCCGGAACGGGCATGTGGCTTGACCTCATGCAGATCTGTTCGTGCCGATCCAGTCTGTTTGGGGTGCTGAACTGTTTGTTGCAGTACTTGCACACCAGAGGCTCCTGGGTCGGCTTGTGCAGCTGCATGTGGGCACCGAGCAAAGTGCTGCTGTCAAAGGACTTGGAGCAAGAGCTACAGTTGTAAATGAGAGGGGGAACCTCTGCCGCTGGCGGCCCAGGGACATCAGCGGACTTGTTTTCATCTTCCCTGGGAAGAAGGACCTCTCCTTCGTTGTTGGGTGACTTTGAACCAGAAAGAACGGCAGCTGGCTGTGGACTGCTCTCCTGATGAACCTCCACGTTGGTTACTGGTGGGGGTGGCATCTCTTCCGTGGCTGGTTCAGAATCCTGGGGTGTGGGAAGTGTCTTTGGCTTCCGGCATGTTTTCGGTTTTGCAACGAGAGCCTCGCCATTTTCTTTCCCTGTTTTATCAGGCGAGCTGCTAGCATGTTCACATACAGGCGGACTCCGGTACGCCTCGGCCACGGAAGAAACGGCGTAGGAGTGCTCTGCCAGGGTGCGGACGGGCTCCGCCTCGTGACAGACATCAGTCCTTTCCAGGCAAAGGCTCGTGGTTCTCATGGAGTCGGAGACCTTTTTGAAACTCGCCCTCAAGTCCAGTGGGGAAAACATGTTATTACTATTTTCCGTTTCAATGATGGAAAACGCATTTGTGATCCTTGGCCCGTTAGTGATGGCTGGTTCTTCATGCCTTTTTTCATTTTTTTCTTCTTTCACCACTCCCTTTTCAGTAATGCAAAATACATAAGGGCCCGGGGAATTTGAGAAGCTGCGATCAGTCAGGTCTTCTAAGAAGGAGATTCCCAGCTTTTTTCCTGCAGCTGCAAGATCAGTGACTGTTTCCTGTCTCTTGACCACGACTGTGGAGCTGTAGATATAATTAAGGATTTCTGTAAACACTTCGGCTTTGAGATCATCCAGCTCCAGGACGTGGCTGGAAATACAGATTGTATGGCTCCAAAAGATATTTTTGAAATAAAGGCTTGAAGCAGCCAGGACATTGCTGTGGGCTTTGAATTTGGTGTCTTCCACAATGATAGTGACATCACATAAAATGCCCCGGATGCGCTGCTCATTTAAAATGGAGAGCACTGTGTCACTGTGAAAGTCGTCCTTGAGGTCCCTGGAAAGGGACATGACTGTCATCTGAAACAGAGGAGAAAAATGGTCAGACTCTTGCCCAAGTAGCCTCTTTATTTCTAGATTATTTCCAACCTCTTGAAAACAATCTGTGTATGAAAAGAAACGTTCTTATCTCATTCTGTTGTTGCTTGCAAGGCTCGGAGTCCACAGGAGAAGCTGAATATTTCGCTCCAGTCTGTTTCTCATGCTGTTGCTAAGTTATTAAGGTTGGAAGGCCTCTCAGAACTCTTTCTCCGAAGCTGTAGCTATACGCACGTGTCTGAATCTGGGGGGAGGAGGTGCCAAGTGGTAAGGGTCTCGCCATCACTGGCGGCTGCTGTGTGGAGCCCCAAGAGCTGGGCAGTGCCATAGGCCCACCACAAGCCTCCTGCCTATTTTCAAAGACAGCCCTGATGACCTGATCCAAACGCCATTCATAAAGCTGGAAAAGGATTTCTAAAGAGTTTCCCTAAGTAAGCAGTACCTGTATGCAAGGGTGTTGCCTGCCCATACAAGCAGCAAGGTCTGGAGGATACTCCTAACTTGTGGCTTCCAAGGGTCTCTCAATGGAAAGTCACAGTCTGTATGACCAGGTCTGACCACTGGGGGCGCCCATCCCATTCCTCCTCTGATTTCCCTTTCATTAAAGCCAAAGTTAGTAAGTAAATAAAGCAAGCCAGGCAAAGGAGACTAGGGTTTTCAAAAAGAACTCTGAGAGGTACTCAAGGCAAACAAAAAATGAAACCAGGACAGTATGTTTCTGAGTCCACAGGCTGAGTTTCACCACAGGTTCCTAAATTTAAAGGCACGGTGAGTGGCTTGTTCTGGTCTGAGGACCCTGTCGCCAAGACTAGTTCCCAGAGACTAGTTCTTGCTCTTCTCTCTGTGTTCTGTCATCAGCCTGGGATGGCCGGGGCCTACCGACTAACACTCCTGTGAGGAGCAGTCCAAAGCAGCGGCTTTTGTACTTACCTACAATAAATACGTGGTACGTCAGTGAGCTAAGACACAAGTGGAACTGAAACTTGGCCCTTCGTGGGTGCGATGCGTCCTGTCTTTTCTATTATCTTTCATTTTTAAAATACTAACATCAACTCACTAAACTAATTTCACTATACACTAATATATTACTCCTCCAGTTAAAACAAAATAAAACCGACAAACAAAAACCCCTCTGGTGCACGGCACATACAAACCAGATATTCATCCAGTCTCTCTGGCCCTTGTCCAGTGACGCCTAGGAAGCCACATGGCTTGCTGCTGTTTCTTTAACTCGCAGTGGTGATGTCTTCCTAGCACTGGAGTACAACACTGAGCTCACGGCATTTATTCAGGTGGAGAGACCAGATGGCCACACAAAGAATCTTTTTTTACCTTTTCTGTGAAGCTATTATAAGCTGTGCCCATTATATTATTTAGCATCCTTTATGTAAGGGTTCATTTAATAAATTCTTTTATCTCACTCAGTCATAAGAAAAAGTATACTTTTACTAATACATTCTCCAATTTGGATAATGAGAATATATTCCCCAAATTTCTCTTAATTCTTGAGGCAAGTTAGAATGGACTTTTATTGTCAATGGTGGTGGCCATTGTGAGCCTAGGTTTCTGGTGTGACAACTGTCTAGTTCTTCTACTCTTGTTTACCCTGCCTCTAATGGTAATCTTCCACAAATCTTTTCTAGCACTCTTGGGTGTTAAACCTATAAATAAATGTGAAATGGACTGAAATCGTTACTGTTTCCTCTGTGCCCCTGCACAGAATGCAGGAGTATGTCCTTCACTGGGTTATAAATCAGTAACATACTGTGCTGACGTTTCTTTTGCCTTCCTTGAGGTCTCTCTGTTCTGGGCTACTTTCTCTCTTGATTCTTATATTCTTACCCAGTTTGGTTTCTGTAAGATTATTTCAATTCTTTATCCAGCCTGACTGGATAGTCTCAGATCTGGCAAAACACATACTATGTGTTCAAACAGGTGGCTTCCATTCTGGCTTAGTTCTAAGCTGACATACCTATTTTGTCCTTTCACCTCAGGATCACTGCTTGCTCCAGAACACCCCACTTCGGAGTGCTCTGAAGGTCCTGTGAGGCTCTGTCTCTGTTTGGGGAACACAGTATTTCACCTCAAGCTAATGTAAATACTCCAGGGTGTCAGATTATAAGCCCCACTCACTTCTGTGGGATTCTCTTTCTTCTCTTAGATTGTTCAGTTAGAATGGTTAGCAAAAGGCCAACTGTTAACAGTAAGATCTTAGTCTCTCGGTTAGAATAACATATATCATAGAAAGCATCATTATAGGTCATGAGAACATCCTCGGAATTTTGAAAAACCCAAGCATGGCATCTTTCAGGAGACTGCCACTGTGTGACAGAACCCTCCACAAAGCACAGTTACTGGGTAGCACCTGCATGTGCCTTCTAGGCACACACAAAATAACCTGCATTCCTGTATCACTTTTACCCAGCAGATGTGCTCGCGAATGGCGCGGTCGGACTCAGTGCTCAGAGCTGGAGGGACTGTGGGGAGCAAGGCACGCCTCTGCCCTCCGGGGCCAGAGTCCAGGGGAAGAAAGAGGACTGGCAACTGACGGCTGGAGGCCATGATGGTAGGCTTCACACTAACGGTGTGTACAGAGTGTCGCAAGATGAAGTGACAATTTATTATTTACAGGGGTCCTGGAAGGCTTGGCCTCAGGGAACACACGGAAGATGGGTGTGGGCAGGGCAGTCTAAGCAGAAGGAACGCTGGGAAAAACCAAGAGAACATGAGTATGCTGCATGCAGGACTGATGAGTACGGCTGGGGAGGCCAGGAGAGGGTGTGTGCACGCTTCTGCCCCCAGTGCCCTCAGCAGGGCTGGGCGCACGGCCGGCCCCAGCACCTATCTATAGAGTGTGATGCGCTAGGAAAGGAAGGGTCGGCGCAGGCCATGAAGGGCCCTAAAGGACTCCCACAGTAAATTTTATGACACAGGCAATAGGGAACTGCTGAAAGGCATGAACAGATTTGAATGAAGGGAAAAAAAATCACTCGGGCTGCGGCATGCTGAAGGGATCAGAGGGAGGCAAGCTGCATGCAGGAGACCAGCTAGCGAGGCCATGTGGGGTCCGGGTGAGCAGCAGCCCGTCCACCCCACAGCGAGAGCCTGGGGACGAGCAGATGGCCGCACCCTCTGCCAGGAAGGACTGCGGGGCAGTGGTAGCTGAACTCAAAATATACTTCAATCCTCTCAGTCAATATTTACTGAACAACTGCTAAGTACAAGGAATCAGGCTAAATGCCACAGGAAGACAAGAGCTCATTCCTCCTTTGAACAGATGTTACTGAATACCTGCTATTTGCTTTGGGACAGTAGTCCCCAAACCTGACTATGCATTAAAATCAAATGGGAAGCTTTAAAAACAGTACAGATTCCCCCAAGGCCTGTGGTGTAGCAGGGGAAGTAAGACTTAAAGGAATGGAAAGTCTTTACTACTCCAGTGCCCACCGCTCCAATCTCAACAGCTCCCTTTACCTAAATCATCTCGTTTTGTCATCAAGAGCCTCCAGACCACGGGTTACCAGACGACCTCAGAAAGTGTTGCAGCTGAAAGCCATATTCTACTTCGAAGTGCAAGGAAGCCATGAGCCCGAGGCCTGCAGACCAGAGGGAACGCACTGCAGACCACGGGCAAACCTGGTCCCCACAGGTTTTGTTTGACTCACACAGGTTTTGGAACCATGTTTTAGAAAAATTGATGTTGAGAAACAGTTAAGATTTAACATAAAAAATCAATATGCCTTTTCTTCAAAAAATAGGAAGACAAGGCCACAATGGGGTGGTTGCCTGCCTGGCAAGAGAACTGGGGCCTTGTAGCCGCGCTCCATCACAGGCCCCATCACACACGCAGCCCAGGCACGATGCATCCGGTGCCTGTGCGCAGCGACGTGACTGGCCTGGCCCGGCAGCCAGTTCGGTCTGTGCAGCTGATAAAAACATTAAATAAAACACTGATGGACCCACAGACCTCATCAGACATCCTTACTTTAAGGGCAGCCCCAAAATTAAAATGAAGAGCTCTCAGTGAGCTGATGGTGGGGGCGGCAGTCATTCTCACCAAAATAGTATGCTTTGGCATTAAAAAGTTAAGTGAATGACCTCTTCCCCTACATTTCTTCATAGACAGTAACTTGAAAACAGAAGTCTTAGGCGCTCCTGCCAACGGAAAGCTCACGACAGACTTCAGAAAAAGAAATATAAGTTGCAAAGATGAGATTTAATTCACATGTAACTTTCAAAAATGCTTTCTAAAGAGCCAGTTTCATGCAACAAATTTACTATTCTCAGTAGTACTGCTGTGAGGGGAATAAATAAGCACAGGAAAAAGTGAGCAAAAATGTTACAGATGCAAAATATTTTGGTGAACCAATGTTAAAAAAATAAACAAATTTGTAATTACATAACTGTGCTCATCTGACTTACGTTACTATTTTCCTGAGCTTTAGTTCCGCTGTAAGAGATTTTAACATACGCCTTCTGAACATACAAGTACACATGTATATATCCACATGTATGTACAAGAAAATGTATGACTTATAAATATATGAACATACTGCACATAATTTTATAAGCACATAAAAATAGGGTGAACATATAGTTTAGCATCCAAAACAGGACACTTGAGAGAGAGGGTGCAACAAATAACTATGCCAGAAAAATGGGGTTGTACCCCAGGAAATAGAATGAATGTTTATCTTGTATTTATATATATAAATGCATAAGCAGAACATAAACCTCTATATAAATTACAAGTAGTACATATATGTACATTTACATATACATTCTTTTAAGAATCTTATAAATAGTATCAATATATGTATATATACTTCATATAAACGCCACTGGGAAATGCTAGCTGGTTAGTGTACTTGAAATCTGCTGCTGCTCTCCTCTCTGCTGTACTCCAACCACACATAAAAAATACATGCCCGCATAGTGTAACCATGGGCACTTAAGATACACTTCATGATTAAAATGACTTT